TACAGGCTTTTCTTCAAGTTTGGTGGGCTCAGTCAATTTATTGCATTGGAGAGAAGCTGGAAACCTTATCAGAGAAAGAGAGATAATGGGAGAAAGAGGGAGAGACAGGGTTGGGGGAAAGGGAGATGGAGGGAGAGATAATTTCTGACTTAATACACTTTGAATGGAAGAGGAACAGGAATGTTTTCTCTCTTTCTTCTTCCAGGTACTTCTGCCCTTTACCATCTTCTCCTATCCCTCCTTCTTCAGAGAAGAGCTGGTAATTATTCATCTGTGATATCAGGGAATCATTATTAGCCCAAGTACCTGCTCTCCAATCCTTTAAGTAGTGTTTGTGTTAGGGGGGACTGTGCATATAAAGCTCTCTAAATGGTGTGGCTAGAACTCCCCCATGTATCCTGTTAGCAAGGACAGGGCTTGTTTTGGACAGCTGCCAGGGAAGCATTTCAAAGGTAATTGGCAAATAATGTCTTAGGGAGAATGCAAAATATGCATTGAATTTTCCTAGCCTGAGATTGGAAATGGTCCACTCTCTGCAAGGCAACCCTATGGTTTATAATAATCAACTATGGAAAATTGTATTTTCAAGACCCCAATTAATTTCTTAACCACTGGAGATTATAAAAAGACTGTCAGCCAGGAAATAAAAATAGCTTAGTGGAGTGCTTTATTTCTTTACAACAGAAACATCAGGTTGTTTCTTCTCTCTTTTTTTTTTTTTTCCAAAATGAAACAAAGCCCTGGATGTGGGCCAGAGATTACAGGCAGGAGTGGAGCAGCAGCAGTAACAATAAGGAAGGAGTGGGCTGCTCATTTGTACATTTGATTTATTGACTACTCCGGAGAATAATTAAAAGGCTCCCTTTGTGTCACAGTAGGAGATGGATGGCTGTAGTTCGTGTATGCCAAGGTGTTAATCTGCTATGGGGCCAAGTCTGAGATGTAGGCATCCTCTGGAGGCAGAAGGTCTTGGCCTCTGGCCTCAGTCTCTGGCATCTCCTGTGAGCTTTTCTCTGGTTCCTGTGTATGCACAGTCCTTGAAACTCCCTCCTGTTCTCTGTCTTAGTTTGAGTTTCCTCAGTGGCCGACCCAGAAACAATGATCTGGGTGCATGTAGTTTCCAAGGATATACAATGGGAGAGTGAGACAAGGAAGAAAAGACAGAAAGTTGTGTTATGATCAAGGTACCATTGTGGGCAACTGGAACCCATCCCACTGGGGACTTTGATAACTTTGTAGAACATACCCCAG